AGTAACAAAATATGAGATTAATACCCAAGAATAACTGAGATCAACACCAGAATTACTCCATAGCTTAGAGGCCAGCCGGGTATTCAAGGGGGAAGGGCAGTTTAGATAGAGAAGGGAGCACCAAATAAAGGGTGTTTGGAGGATCCTCCCCGGAGGGGAGATGCATGTTGAAAGTAGACTATGGACTGAACATGTTTGCCACTCAATGCCTCTTTTGCAGACCACAACACCCAAAAGGAGAGAGAGAACAAAAGGGAATGCCCTGCCACAGAGGCAGGGTAGGATGGGGGAGATTGGGAGGAGGGATATTATCCATGGTGGTAGAAAATGGGCACTGGTGGAGGGATGGGTATTTGATCATTGTATAACCGAAATCCAAGCAAAAAATTTGTAAATCTACAACTGTACCTCATGGTGTTTCACTAATTAAAAAAAATATAAAGATTCAAAAAATTAAAGTACTATGAAAGCATCATATCATTGCACAATAATAAATTTGGCAAAAATTTAAAGTCTGATGTCAAATATTACTATAAATGTAACATAATAAGCAAACTTATTAACTATCTGTGGTTATATAAATTCAATTAATTATTTCGAGGGTAAAATTCACATTTTAATCAATTATTTTGAGGGTAAATTTAACATTATCCAGTGGTATAATGTCCATAATTTCAAAACCGTATCTTAATAAAACTTTTACATTTATTTTATAATTATATATAAACAACTGGGTAAAATTTCAATTAATCACTTAATCATTTAACTTCCCGTTAGTCATCGATTTACTCGAGCGGGTGCCAGTAATGTCTCCATTTGTCCCTGTCGCGTGCTAGTGTAGCCCAATGACATCTGTTCACTCCGGGAACATGAAGGGCCTCAAACTCATCGTTCATGATCTTGACGAAGAAGTCTGACCATCTGGTAGGTGGGCGGCCACGCGGTCTTTTGACATCCTGTGGAATCCAATCAGTAACAGCTCTAGTCCAACGGTTGTCTTTAAATCTCATTACGTGACCAGCCCATCTGATTTTCGACACCTTGGCATATGAGACAGCGTCCCTGATCCTTGATCGTCGACGGATGTTAGAACTCCGGATTCGTTCTCTCATTTGAGTGAAACGTGATATTCCAAGCATAGCTCTTTCTATTCTTCTTTGGGAGACCTGAATAGCGTTCTCATCTTGTTTGTGTAGGGCCCAGGTCTCTGAGGCATATGTTAATGCAGGAAGAACAGTGGAATCAAAGAGATGTGCCCAGAGCCGGAGGTTCTTCATCCTCTTAGCTATTTCTTCGACGTTCTTGAAGGCGTTCCAAGCCGCTCTCTTTCTCCTGCGCAGCTCGGGTGCCAGGTCATTTGTCATGTTGACCTCTCTACCTAGGTACACATAGCTGTTGCATTCGGAGATGGTCGTTCCATTGAGAGCGAATGGGGCGTCAGGAACAAGGCTGTTTCTCATAAACATTGTCTTCGTAAGATTCAGCTGTAGTCCTACCTTTCCACACTCACGGTCAAAGTCGGCCAGCATTTGTGCCGCTTGGCTGATGTTTGGTGTTATTAAAACAATGTCATCAGCAAAGCGGAGGTGGTGTAGTTGCCGACCATCTATCTTCACTCCCATTCCTTCCCATTCCAGTCGTCACATGATGTTCTCGAGGGTGGCACTGAAGAGTTTCGGTGAAATGGTATCACCCTGCCACACCCCTCTCTTGACATCAACGATCACTTCTTTGTAGAATGGTGAGATCCTGGTAGTGAATCCGCAATACAGCTCATGGAGGATCCTGATGTATTGGGCTTGAATGGCCTGATTGGCTAGGGCTTCAATGACCGCTTCCGTCTCAACAGAATCAAAGGCCTTCTTTAAATCAATGAACATTAAACAGAGCGGCATCTTGAACTCCCGAGAAACCTCAATGAGCTTGGTTATCGTGTGGATATGGTCGATGGTGCTGAATCCTTTGCGGAACCCTGCTTGCTCGCATGGTTGTCCTTCATCTAGTGTTCTGCCAATGCTATTTAGGATGACTCGAGTGAACAACTTGTAGATGACAGACAATAGGCAGATCGGGCGATAGTTGCCAATGTTATGGATGTCTCCCTTCTTAAACAGTAGTACGGTCCTGCTGGTTTTCCATTGGGACAGAACCTTGCATTCAGACAGGTAGCGAGTGAAGAGCCGAGCCAGTGTATTGATGAGTACTGACGGCAGGATCTTCAGGTGTTCAGGTCTGACCTTGTCTGGGCCGGGTGCTGTTTGTTTCTTTGCCGACGAAATGGCATGTCGGATTTCGGAAGGGAGAACGTTGGGAACGACATATCCATCCTGTGGAATTTGGTATGTCGGCAAGTGGACATGGCTATCGAAGAGATTTGAGTAGAAGTCATGGATAATCTTCTCCATTGCCGTTCTGGAGGATGTGATGGATCCATCAGGACGTCGGAGGGCAGTCTTTTTGGTCTTATAGTTGGCGAAGGACAGGCGGGCGTTACGAATACTTTTCCCGGCTTCTGCCACATCTACCAGTACTTCTGCTCTTCTCTCTTTGAGGTCTTCCTTGATCGCATCTCTGCACTGATTTGCGAGCTCGGACGTTAGCTTGCGGTTGCCTGAGGCATGCGCCAAACCACACTGGCGAATTAGCTCAAGAGTTTTCGAAGATAGGCGATATTTTGTGGCTATCTCTCTCTTGGCGTTCCTCGCACATTCATGGAGGTGCTGAACCAGTCGATCGTATTCCTCGTAAATGTTGTCAACAATGGCATCTTCCCATGTTGCCGCAATAGTGCCAAAGAGCTCCCAGTTGGTGGTCATTCTGGGAGTTCTCTTTTTGAACTTTTCAGCCCTTTCTCCCCGCTCTGTGAAGTAGAATTTTGCACGAAGGAGACGGTAGTCCGATCCCATTCGAAATTTTGGGACAACAGCGACATCAGTCAGGCAAAACCGTCGATTGAATAGGATGTGGTCTATTTCGTTGTGGAATCGTCCACCAGGAGACTCCCATGTCCATCGTTTAGATTCTGCCTTCTGGAACTGTGAGTTACCATGAATGGTCTTGGTCGACATGATGAACTCAGACAGTCTCCCACCCTGTTCATTCCATTCTAGGCCATGGGTCCCGATGTGAAGTTCTTCAGCTGATCTTCTCGGTCCTATCTTGGCATTAAAATCACCCACAATGATCTTGTAGAAGGTGTGGTCTTCTTTATAGAACTTCTCTAGCTCCATGTAGAACTTCTCGATTTCTCTTTCATCATAATGAGATGTTGGTGCGTAGACAACGAAGATAGAAACTGCAGGCAGTGAGCCACATCTATTCAAATGTAAACGTCCGATTCGGGTTGTTAGGCATTCGAATGAATCAATGCTCTTGGCCAAGTTTGTGTTGACAAGGACACCGACGCCTCCAACGCCTCTTTTATCGCATGTTCCGAGGAACAATTCTTCTCCAGTGTCGAAAACAGCATGGTGAGATTCGTGCCTTCTTGTCTCGGTCAGACCAATGATGTTGTACTTGATCATTCGCGCTTGTACCATCAGGTCCTTGATGGATGCATCTGATGCTAGCATACGTGCATTGAAAGTACAGACGATCATTTTTGTCTTCCTTCGTTGTGGCAGCCTAGGTCGGCCTTGAGATTTTGTCGGCCTCTCCTTTCTCATCCTTCTCAGTGCTGCCATGTCGGTGAAGCCTTCAGGGTCAGGTGAATGAGACCAGTTGTAGTTACTGGTTTTGGCATATCGAATACACAGCGGATAGCTTGCCAGGCTCTTCCGTGCGGGCGGAATACTCTCGGTAGCTTGCCAGTCTTTCCGAGAGGGATAGAGGCTTTTGCTTTTGCATCTTTGCAAATGTTGTAAACTTTAAATATGCATAATATTTTCTTAAAATAAAAATAAGTGAAACTAATGTTCCATATTGGGACTGATTAAAACTCTGCCCTTATTGGATCTTTGATTTTTATACTAAATTTTTGTCTATTTTACATTGATACACAGTGATGTATATAGCTTTCTTCTTAGTTTGTGTTGTTCCTAATTTATAATTGGCAGAAAAATTATGTGGAGTTTTGAATGATGCTCTTCAAAGTATAATTAATATGTTAAAGGTAAACACTTTGTAACACAGAACTCAGATGGGTAAATTCTATTTATTTTTCTATAAAGCAGTGTTCTTTCTCTTGAGTTCTGTGCAGCACAAATGAATGTGAAAGAATCCATATTAGGGCATCAAATTTTTGTGTACTTTAGCTAACTTGCAACATTGCTTTCTGTAAAACTGCTTGGCTGCTTTGCACCTGGGGGAGAGGGGACTTGGAAAGTGATTTACTGTCCCTGAAATGTATTGTCTCAGTAAAGCACCCTGCAGATTTGAGTAAAGGATAACTCAGGATGCGGGTGGTTGGGGGAAATTGCCCTTTCCTGGAATGTATTGTCTCACTAAAGCACCCTGCAGACTTGGGTAACTCAAAACGAGGATGGTCAAGGGAGATTACCTAAGGCTTAATGATTCTGGCTATAACCTTGCTTGTGCTGACAATCCATGTATGTAAATGCTGATCTTTGAATCTATAGGCTAAGGAGTGAGGTACTTTTAAATGGATTGGTTAAGAAAGCATATGTTGTTACAAATCTATTGGCTATGAAATGCGCGGGCTTTGCTGTAACGGCCAGTGAAGGCCTATATAAGATCCCCTTTGAAGAAGTTCGGGGCTCTCAGCCACTGCCCATTTTTGGGGTATGCTGCGGAGCCCCAGCATGCTGGTCTAAATAAACCCCGTTTTTACTCCTGCAGGAATTGTGTCTATCTGGTCTCTCCGCGCCTCCCAGGGCCAGGGAACTCCCGATCCCAACAAATGTAGTCATTTTTAAAAGAAATTAACAGTATTTTTTTTCTTATTCACTCATTACTTTTACCAGAAAATTGTGAATTAATAACTTCCTTAACACTCTGGGGTCACAACAGTCTCTGAGTTGACTCAAACAAAAGAGACCTACTTAGCTGACTCTCAACTTCTTGACCTGCTTTTGCACCTTGCTGAGGTGTAAAAATCTTCAGCAAAATCATACAAGTTAACACTACTGTAACCAAGTTACCTATATTAGAATCATAAGTATGTTTCAAAGAAAAAAATGCTAGATTTTTTTCAAGCTCTCTGTGTTAGAAAAAAAAAACATAGATTCTGACTCCTTTGAAATTTTCTTACCTCTTTTTTCTATTACCCTCCCACCTGCACCAAAGTTTAAATGTGCCTTGAAAGTAATACCAAGGATTCCATCTGAAGTGCAAAAAGAAGCAACAGAACAGGAAGAGGCAACCACAAAACTTTGTTACCTCATTCCTGGCTTGCTCACCACAATGTGGTCAGTGAGTACCAAAGGAAGTCATAACTGATAAAGTCTGCACAAGCTCTGCCTGGTGTGGACACCCAACTCCTGCCTCTTTCACTAAGACAATCATCTCAATTAGGACGTGGATCATGATCTCCCTTTAATGACAAAGAGACTCCAGAGACTGCAAAAAGCAAGCAAGGTTTATTGTAAGACTGGCTAGCCAGGGTCAATCCATCAGGCAAGACCCCGAACTTCTTCAAAGGGGATCTTCACTTCACTGGCCCTTACAGAAAACCTCATGCATTTCATAGCCAATAGATTTGTAACAACATATACTTTCTTAACCAATCCATTTAAAAGTACATCACTCCTTAGCCTATAGATTCAAAGATCAGCATTTATGTACATAGGTATTGTGGCTAGTGGGTATCTGGTAACTCAGACATTTGGTTATCTTCTATGTTTACCTGGCTTCCTTTGATTTTCAGCTCATGACTCCTGCATTCTGGTGTAGGCAGGTAAGGGAAAAGTTACTAACAGAGGTAACAGATGAGGAAGGGCCAACAAATCGTTTCAGAATTTACATCCCAATAAGGAAGGGTCAACAAATGGAAACAGAATTTACATCTCAAGGGTTTACCAGGGAGGGGGCAGGTAAGGAAGAGTTACTAATTAGCAGAGTTTAGCTCTGGAATTTCCCTCCGGGTCCCAAGGGATCTTACACTGCCTCTTGGCCTCCACTTGATTCTCGGGGTATGGGTGCTGGTCCCTGTTGGTGGAGTACAAGGAGCTTAGGTTTGTCGGGTTGCACCCGTCACAGTGCTCCTGAGTCATTACCATTACTATGTTTGTCTGTAGCTACTTCTTTGTGCTCTCTTCCCCAACCAATTTGAAAGGTCAGATCCTTCTAGGACACTGAACTTGTACTGTAAGTTAATATTGCCTTTCTCCTCTCCTTATGTCTTTTGAATAGTTTAATGCAATGTCCTTTTTGTATAGATACAGGAAGACAATATTATGCTTTATAACTTAAGGGTTAATTGGCTTTGAATATTATTCACTCCCGGGCATCTGCTTTCTCAACTTAAGCCTCAGTTGCCCTCCTTCCCAGCGCCCCCAAAAGCAGGGTCCCGACGAGGAACTGGATGGAACCAGGGCAAGCCGGTAAGTTATGTGCTACCCTGGCATCGAGATGGGCCAGGCCAAGGTGCCACGATTCTTAACTATAGGTTAAGAATTTGATCATAGGCAAACGCTATCATGATCCAAAAGTAACAACGAGACTAGGACCCTGCTAAGAATAGGAAAGATATCTGGCCTGAGCACTTTAGTCTGAGATAGAGATGACCCTAGGAGAACAATTCTATAAGCTTAAGTATTTCTTACTGTGTCCATACAAAATGATTTATATTATGTATGTTTATATGTTGGTCGGACAAGGAGAGGAGAAACACACCCAGGGAATTCTGCTCTAGGGTCGGTTGATCTGCTAAATGAGAATCTGTCCTAGAAGCAGCTTTCCCGTGTGTCCTGACTAGCTTGGATGAGACTGAACATTTCTCTACTTCAAAATGCCTTCAGTAAATAATTTCAGTATATAGTAAGAAGCAGTTTCCCTTTTCTCTTAGTAATCTCCGGTGCTAGCCAGACCTGATCTTTGGGATGTAGATTCCAGGCTCTAGGCAGGCTAGTCTTTGGGATGCAAAGCTCAGATACTTGTCTTTGGGATGTAGATTCCAAGCTCTAGCAGACTGGTCTTTGGGATGCAAATCCAAGTGCTTGTAGCTTGTGAAAGGTTTCAGTCTTGGTTTGGTATCTTCTTTCTGGAGGCCAAAATTACTGGCCTGCAGATGTAAAGAAACAATGTATGTTTTGCCTCCTCAATGTTCTTTCTGTAACTCCTTTTGATGACATCATTGTATTGCGCCCTTTAGAGGTACCATGATCTATGTAAGAGAGATTTCAGGGCTCTCTAGGGGAACACTTGCCTGAGAGAACAGGGTGATGTGCTGAGAGAACCAAAGAGACAGGTCTGAGAGAATGGGGACAGAAACTGAGAGAACAAAGTGCGCACGTGCTTGAGAGATCCTGGGGCCTCTATGACATACACTTCTTCCATGTAATAAACTGCTGCTAAGACCAACCAGCCTGGCCCTCGTTTCCTTCCTTCTCCTGACCATCGCCACCGACCTCCCTGGAGTGGGGAAACGGCCTGAGACTACCGAATGTTGCAGGAACAGTGGTTCTCAGGCTGAGGAGAAGTAATATTCTTCCCAGAAAAAGGAGAAGTCAGGGAGGCAGGTTTCTGGTCTTTCATTGCAGATAATAATTTTAGAGGACAGAAGGTTAAGCAAAATAGCTTGATTCACTAGTACTAATTATAAGAAGAATGCAAATTACTCCAGAGAGAGAAGACCCCCCCCCCGACCAAAGTAAGGAATTTTCATACATTTAAATAAAGACCTGGATAACTCCGAAATGAAGTGCCATAAATGAAAAGGTATAAATTTCACACTTGAGTTATGACAACAGAAACTATATAGTGTTTTCACTTTTTAAAAAGAGAGCTGTTGCTAGAAAGTTGTTGAGGAGAACTTTCAACTTTACTAGTTTCTTATTTAAATTTTCATTTTCCACAGCTAATCCTGATGTCGGTGGGCCCCACGGGTGACTTATGTGAAGTGGGGAGGAGAAAGACAGTCACTTTCTCCCCACCCGCCTCTGTCTCCCAGGACCCTGGGTAGGCTAGGACCGGTAAAGTCTGCAGTGAGCACCTGCTCGGCACGGGCCTGAGCCCCGCCAGCCCCACAAGGTGGCCGTCAAGCCACACCTGAAGTCCTCTTGATCTTCTCGGCACGGGAGTTAATCCCCACCACCCGGTTGCTCGGTGAGCCACGGACTCAAGCTGGGATGAGAATTTGCTCTTTGCAGGAAAGGAAAGACCAGTCCCAAGCCTTACCCGGGGTTTCTGGGGTTCTTGTCTCGCTTGCAGAAAAGAATTTCTGGAGTAGACGAGCAGTGAAGTAACAGGTTTTATTTGGAGGCTTTTGGAGAGGCACAGAAAGGGATAAGCAGATAAGCAGGGGAATGGAGAGTAAGAGAGAGAGAGTAACACGTCCAGAGGGAACGCGGGCTTCTCCGAGGGTGGAGAGAGCGCCAAGTGGGCTCTCGAGCTGGTTCTTATAGATCCTTCTGACTCAGAATGTTATGGAATCTTCTTGGGGCTGGGTCACAGGAGTCAACCGGATTGAAAGGGGGTTCGAGAATCATCTGACTTGGAATGTCCTGGAATCTCCTTGGGGTTGGGTCACTGGAGTTAACCAGATTGAAAGGGGGGTTCTTGGAAAGGAGGAATTTCATGGGGAGGAGGCCCATATCTTCAGGATCTGGGAATGGTCTTATCAAGTCCTTATTCTCTGTCTCCACAGGGTGGGTCGGTCCTAGAATTCTTCTTCTATGAGACTTTTTTTCATTGCAGAGAGCCTTTCCCTATCTACCTGCCTACATCAATCCTACAATATTTCTTTTAGAAAATAAATTGTGATAAGGACATGCTACAAGCACATTATATTATTAAACTGAAAGTATGTAGGTTCTGCTAATTGCAACGCAGAAGTATTATATATAAATTCATATGTTTATATAAAATTACTACAGACTAAAAGTTAAACAAGCCACAAGCCATGCATGTCAGAGAATTACTCAACATCTTGTGAGATATTGAACTAAATTTAGACAAAAATCCTGCCCTCAAAGATTTGTTTTTGTTTTCTTTTATTTGGAGGCCACATTCATCTGTGTTCATGGTCTTGCTCCTGACTCTGTGCTCAAGGATCATCTCTGGTTGTGCTCACAGGACCATAGGTGGTGCCATGGATTGAACCTTGGTAAGCCATATTCAAGGTAAGTGGCCTACTTATTCTTTAGTCATAAACTCAACTAATCTATATACTAATAGGCATAATCCTTCACAAATAATTCTGACACAAAATAGATTGTGTTCTATAATAGTAACACATATTGTAGCACTGAAGCACTGTCCTCCTGTTGTTCATTTTGTTCGAGTGGGCACCAGAAACGTCTCCATTGTGTGACTTGTTGTTACTATTTTTGGCATAACAAATATGTCACAGGTAGCTTGCCAGGCTATGCCACATGGGCAGAATACACTCGGTAGCTTGCCAGACTCTCCGAGAGGGACAGAGGAATCAAACCCAGGTCTGCTGCATGCAAGGCAAATGCTCTACAGCTGTGCTATTTATCCAGCCAAGTAACACATATTAATAGCTATAATTTGTCTCTTAAGAAGTGCCAAAAACTATGCTTCATAATTTATAACAAATAATTTACTTATTACATATCCTAACTAATGGTATCATTGTTATTCAATTTCTTTTTTTAAAAAATTTTTATTAGTGAAACACCATGAGGTACAGTTGTAGACTTACAAATTTTTGTGCTTGGGTTTCAATGATACAATGTTCGAGTACCCATCCCTCCGCCAGTGCCCATTCTCCACCATCACTGATCCCAGTATCCCTGGGAAAACATCAGTTGGATGTTTTCTTCTTGTGGAGTTCAACCAGTACTTTGTATATCCTTGATATTAACCCCTTGTTGGATGTGTATTGGGTGAATATCCTTTCCCATTATGTAGATTGTTCTTGTATTTTGGTCACTGTTTCATTTAAGGTGCAGAAGCTTCTTAGTTTAATATAGTCCCATTTGTCTATCTCTGTTTGCACTTGCCTGGCCAGTGGCGTGACATCTTTGAAGATACCATTTGCTCCACAAATAGCTAAAGCACTGCACTGTAGCACTGTCATCCCATTGTTCATCGATTTGCTCAAGTGGGCCCAATAACTTCTCCATCGTGAGACTTGTTGTTACTGTGTTTGGCATATTGAATACGTCACGGGTAGCTTGCTAGGCTCTCCAAGAGGGGCAGAGGAATCGAACCTGGCTCGGCCAGGCTGGCTGCACGCAAGGCAAAAGCCCTACTGCTGTGCTACCACTCCAGCCCTTGGGAAAAGAAAATGAAAGTAATCAACCTCCCTAACTTCAAACTACTACAAAGCAGTAATAATTAAAACAGCATGGTACTGGAACAAAGGCAGAGCTGCAGACCAATGGAATAGGGTTGAATATACTAACATCTCCCCCCAAACATATGATCATCTAATCTTTGACAAGGGAGCAAGAAATGTTAAGTGAAGCAAAGAAAGCCTCTTTAACAAATTGTGCTGGCAAAATTGGATGGCTACATGCAAAAAATTGGCTCAGATATCTGCCTAGCACCATGTACAAAAGATCAAAATGGATTAAGTACCTCAACATCAGACTGGAATCCATAAGGTACATTGAAAACAAAGTTGGCAAAACCCTCCACGACATTGAAGCTAATGGTATCTTCAAATATGTCACGCCACTGGCCAAGCAAGTGTTAGTCAATTTCAATAGAGTACACAAAACTCAGGAGGGGATACCATTTGACCACAGATGTTACATTGCATAAGAACCCATAGAATTGTGATATTAATGCCAGTATGGTGGAGTTTGCTTGTGGGTATGAGATTACATGGAGCCTGGGACAGTTTGTGGGTGTGACTGCCAAGCTACTGAAAAATGGGGGATCTGGGTGGAAGGGGCCCATTTCCCATCCGAGCAGGCTTGGAGATCTTAGCCCCGGGTCCCGCATACCTGGGTTTCTCTGCCAGTTCCTTCATGCATGAGGCTTGTCCAAGCTTGTGGAGAGTAGCCGTGAGCATGGTTGTGACTGGGTTCTGGAAGTTTTCAGCTGCTGGGGAACTGCTTGTGGCAGGGAGGGAAACTGA